TATTTAATAACTAAATATATATATGAATTTATTCAGGATATTACATAAAATTTGTGTAGCCTAATTGGCAAAGATGACGCCCTATGTAAAAGCAACGTGGGTTCAAATCTTGTTCACAACATTTTGACTTTTTAAATCAGAGTTACAGATTTGGCCATTTCTTATTGCTATATATTTCATAAACAACCCCTCCTTCCAATATGTTTAACAAATCAATTTTCAGAAGTTACATAATTAGCCCTTGAACTTTTTATAAAATTTCATATGTTCATTTTTAATTAATTAATTTGCTTTTAAGTTTTCCGTAACGACAATTCATCGTCTTAAGTTTGTTTTCCCTATATATTAAAAAATTGTATTTAGGGCCCCATTTTTCTTCTTTGCACATGGCCTTTAAAATCTACCAGCCGGCCCTGCATACATCTTAATATATGGATCCTCATGAGGTGGACCATCTGGGGCTGGATTTACCTTGGGGAAAAGCTTACTCATAAAAACATCATTGTTGGTCTTGTTCATAGGAATGCCATCGTCTAGGTTTATTTCAACATTCATCTCTTCTTGTAAATCAACTAGCTTAATGTCAACGTCCATACCTCCTTGCATGAATGGTTGTCATCAACATTACATACTTCAACTTTGTCATCATCTAGCAAATCTTGTAGATTCATGCCAATATAATCCATGTATAAAGGGAGAACATATCCACAAGCATACCCTATTTCTATGAATTCCATAAAATCAAGGTGTGTAGCTAATAAAATCAACCCTCCAGAAATTCGATATCGGGATGTAAATAATAAACATTCTCATATTTATCATGAGTGTATCTTTCCAAAAATATACAAACTCGTTCTTGTCCATTCTAGCAAAATCGACCTCCTCAAATAAGTGATGTATTCCATCAATATAAGCGCTAGTTGGATACCTTGTAAAAATACCTTAGAAGTGAAGATAAACCTTCATGTAAAACGTCATAGCAACGAAACCAAACAATCACTTGAGATAGAATAATGAGTGAAGGGTTTGTGAGGTACAATAATATCGAGAAAATCTACATAAAGAAAGGGAAGAAGTTGGGTCATTTATTGTCCCAAAGTGACGTATGGCAATTGACATGACACCTATCTTATTTGACATAGATTTAAAAATGGCTTATTCGGAAGAGGTTCACCAGGTGACCCTTTCATTTTCTTTAATGTGGCCTTTTAAAACCATAAAATACATATTTAATCTCATACAATAAAGAAAAAAAAGAGGAGGGACCTTTTAAAAAAATTGTAAGTTCATTGGGTTACAATGATAATAACCCATTATAATAACTATTGAATAAGGGACATATCCAACAACATCAGTATGTGTGCCGTATCCACTATTTTCATGCAAAAAGAACGATATCTGGCTAATGTGTGTTGATAATTGTGCAATCAACAATATTACTGTCAAGTATCGATTCCTCATATACAGACTTGATGACTAACTATACTAAATTTAATGTGCCAAAATGTTTTACGAATATAGACTTGTAAAGTGGGTATCGTCACAATTGAACCAAACCTTGTGATAAATGACAAACAACTTTCAAAACTAAGGATAAGTTATACGAATGGCTAGTAATGCCTTTTGTCCTATCAAATGGCTAAAAGATTTTTCATGTGGTTGATAACCTAAAATTTGCGCCTAATTATGAGGAAATATGTGGTCATTTATTTTGATGGCATTGTGATATATGATCACACGAAGGAGGAACGCTTAAAACACTTATGAGCCATATCTAGAACCGTGCAATAGAAGGGAATTTATGTTAGCATAAAGAAGTGTATGCTTTTAACTAATAAAACATGTTTTCTTGGTTATATTGTAAGTTATGAAGGAATTCATTTTGATGACGCCAATGTAAAGACTATTTAAGACTATCCTTCTCCTAATACCATCGTTGAGGCTTGCAGCTTTCATGGTTCAAACATTTTCTTTATGAGGTACTTAAGAAATTTAAGTAGCATTGTGGCACCGATCATTAAATATGTGAATAATTTGAACTTTAAATGGACAAACGAAACAAATAAACTTTAAACTCACCATGGAGAAGTTGATAACATCGACCCTATCCCTATTTAACTTTGATGAACTTTTTAAAATTAATTTGATGCTTATGGTATATGTATATGAGTAGTATAATCTCAAGAAGGAAAACATGTTTCCTACCATAGTGAAAAGATTATTGAGGCATGGCAGAGACCTTTATGTAGCTGTCCAAGACCTAAGAGTTGGGAGCACTATCTTATCCAACGAGAGTTTGTGGTCTACTTATATCACAAAGCTATCAAATATTTCTAGGCCTATTTTTTTTAAACAAGGTGGGGAAGCTTTCTAGAAAAGTCCAACTACATTATCAAGCACAAGTGTGGAGCCTCCAACAAAGTAGCATATGTTCCTAACATGAGAAAAAGTGTTCATGTTACCATCAATGATTAATTGGGCAGTTTAAAACACTACATGATTTGTACATAACTAATGATGATTTCAAGGCAAAACGGGAGGATATAGACATAAAACAACATATATACAACTTCCTAATTCCATAAGGACATTGATTTATGGGAAATCATTTGTGAATTCCAATATATTCCTCGAGAGATAAGGTACTTAAATACTTGCATACATGGATATTAGAAGGACATCTTGGTAGGGGTAAAAAAGTACCATATTCCAGGAAATATACTTTGCACACACAGACAAATGAAGTAGGATGTGTATATTTTTTTCAATTGTGTACAATAAACGAAGATGGTAGATAACGACTTAACGCCCACACTTTTATATGCCAATGTCAATTCATATATATCCATAAGAAGACTTTTCTATGAAGATTATTTTCGGCCTACCTAGGACTTGAAGAAGATTCAATCAATGTATGTGGTTGTAAACATGTTTTAATAGATGGTCGACGTCATATCAAGGAAGAATACATGTGATGTTGTGTGTGTAGTAGAATTATTATTTTAAGAAGTTGTTCATTTTGATGAAGTTCAAGTCGATAACCTTTATCCAAGATAGTAAGTTTCTGACTTACTTTTCACTAACTTGTTAGTGATTTCTTGTATCAGAACTGAACTTTAGCAACAATGCTCACCTATAATTCGATTTGAAAACTGAAGTGGTCAATAACACACCTTGAACAAGATTTGTTGCTTTTGTGGATAAAATCAAAATATATATGGGATGCATTCATGTCCTAAGAAGATTTTGCCTACAATAGGGTAATACATAGCTCGTCATGGATCTCATTGTATGATACATTATATAAGATCCACCCACATTTAGTAGTCGATTTGGTTGAGTTGTCTGGGAAGAATGATAACACAACCAACAAACTTGTTGGAAGACATATACAAGACTCATGTAGTGGTAAGAGCGAATATAACATATGTGGATGCAAAGTACAAGAAAACCAATGATAAACATAGGCGTCCCAGTATATTCGATGTGGGAGATGAGTTCATGGTCTACTTCCGCAGGGAGTGGTTTTTGATGGGGACATACAACAAGTTGAGTCAATGAAAATATGGTTCTTATAAGGTTTCACAAAAGATTAGCGATAACATTCATATCGTTAACATACCCACCACAATGTTCATTTCTAAAATGTTCAATGTCTTAAATATTTACAAGTACCATGTGCAAGAGAAAGTTGTCTATCCTATGAACTTGGGGTCGAGTTATTCTTAAGTAATGGGGAATTATGTAGAGCATATTGACAACTTAGCAACGTTTATGGATAAATAAAAGAACGACAAACGAAATGGAAAGAAGTCAAGTGTAACTTACATAAGTTTTGATTAGTTACAAAGCTTAATTAAATAAGCTATAAAGTTTTAATGGCATATCAAGTGCTTTCCATATATTTTTTTTATTATATTTTAATGGCAATATGTGTGTTTTCCTTGATTTCCCCCTTTCAAGATTGTTTAGAAGGCGAATTAAAAATGTTAATACATGTCAAATTTATATCCTCTTATATAAGCTTCCATCTTATAATTAAATAAAAAATTATGCTTTATGAATTATTAAACATTTTTTTGGCAAAGTTTTAAAAAACTCGTCAATGGCTTCGTCATATCGCCGTATCGCGTCATGACTCAAAAGCTTGTACTCGACGTCATGTTTTAACAAAATGTCATGTAAAATCATATATGTATATAAAAATGAGAAATAGTAGAATATATATATATATATATATATATATATATATATATATATATATAATTTCCACCTTAAGTCACGCCTTACAAACGATGTGGTTCGTCATGACTTGTAAAACTCAAGGTTTGACATCATCGACAAGTCACACCGAATATTATTTAAAATCTTATTTTTGGTATTATAGTCTATAATTCTGCTGTGAGTAAATCTTTACTTTACACTTAGAGTACTTTACACTTTGGTACTCAGTTTTTTTTTAAAGAGAGGAAAGAAAAGGAAAGTAAGACAAAGAAACTAAAATTATTTTATATTTGTTTTCTTAAGCCTGATTTTTTTTTTTGACAATTTTCAACATTTTTTAGCGGTATAAAATGATAAAAATGTGATAATTTTATAACATCATTTTTACTGTGCAAATGATTAATAATTGCTAAACTAAGGTAAAAATAAAAGTCATAACTGGCATAGTTGCTATTATGATATTTTATAAAACTCTTGTTTCCTTTCTTTCTCTTTCTCTTGTTATCTAAAAAAAACTCGAAAAAAAGATAATTGATTAGTTGCTATATAAAATGGGCCATGCAAACCCAACTACAAGCTAAAGCCCAAATGTTTTATATCGTATTTGCGGGTTTAGGCCCAAAAAACAAATAGGGTAAAAAAGACATTTCCGTCGCATGCAAAACCCTAGCATATGCCCCTTTTAATTTTCCTTTTCATGCCGCACTGATTCACACCACAGAGACTCCCTCGCCGAACCCTTAGACGCCGCCGCCGTCTCTCTCGTTAATTCAAAGATGCCGCCGAAGTTCGATCCGTCACAAGTCGTCGACGTCTATGTCCGCGTCACCGGAGGTGAGGTCGGAGCAGCGAGTTCACTCGCTCCTAAGATCGGACCACTCGGTCTCTCTCCAAAGAAGATCGGAGAAGACATTGCAAAGGAAACCGCCAAGGACTGGAAGGGTCTCAGAGTTACAGTCAAGCTTACTGTTCAGAATCGTCAGGCTAAGGTCTCCGTCGTCCCATCCGCCGCTGCTCTGGTGATTAAAGCTCTCAAGGAGCCAGAGCGTGATCGTAAGAAGGTGAAGAACATCAAGCACAGCGGCAACATTTCTCTCGATGACGTGATTGAAATCGCGAAGGTTATGCGTCCGAGGTCAATGGCTAAGGAGTTGCAAGGAACTGTGAAGGAGATTCTCGGAACTTGTGTTTCTGTTGGATGTACGGTTGACGGAAAAGATCCGAAGGATTTGCAGCAGGAAATAGCTGATGGTGATGTTGAGATTCCTCAGGATTGATCGAGGTTCTTTTCGTATTCAATTGAAAAAGCATGTTAGTTCTTCTGTTATTGTCTGTTGTTTTGATATTTTGAGAATTTTTATCGAGCTTTACTTCTATCTTATCACCATTTTCATTAGTGAATATGGAGACTTTTTGGCAAAATGTTCAATTTTGATTTCGAATCACACCATTGTCTATTTAGTTATTCTGATCTTCTTGGTGAGTGATATATTCCTGCATATTCTACTTGCTCTGAACATGATTCTGTTAATGTACGAACATCCTTTTGCATCATGTCAGGGAAAAATAATATCACTGGTTATAATTCATCTTTGAATATCTATTGAAGAATGCACATTCTTGGAAATCTGTGTTTTTACTTGCTACAGTCTGCTGTCTCTTTGCTCATGCATATTAGGGTTATGTTTTGATCAATGTCTTGAACCTTATTCAATTATTTGCATATGGTGATTGGTGATGATGCTGTCTGTGATTTGTATTTTTGCTTCATCTTCAAAACCCACAAATCTTAGCAGAAATTTTTATGAGCTTTTAGCAACAAAAGTGAAATCTCTAACCAGCGCCAACAAAATGCAACAGATTTTGAAGCATTAACTCATTGTTGTAAGTTGTTTGCTAAAGTAAAGCATGGGTTAGTTATACCTTAGGTTTTAAGATTTTTTTTTTGTGTTTAAACAATCCATTTTTTAGAAAAAAAAAACTTACTTTTTTTTTTATTCCATTTTTTGTTTTAGGTTTTCTAGCAGGGTTGCTGGTTTTATTTTTCTAAAAAAACCCCGAGCACTTCACAATTTTTTTTCATAATTTATATTTGTTGTTTGTACAGTTCCTCATGGTTTTAGGTATTAGAATATGAAAGGAAATATTGTTATGTCTAATTTTTACTTGAAAAATGCATACTAAATTCTTTGGTATGATGGTGAGAGTTGTGGTCTAAGCTAGTTTGGCATCTTTAGGTGGTTTTAGAAGGGAAAATGACTCAAGAGGGTAATGAACTATCCATTTTGTTCATATTTTGTCTTTTTTTTTTTTTTTTTTTTTTATATTATTTACCATTGAACTTGTTTTAGGTGTTCAAAAAATACCATTATGACCGGCTATTATAGGTTTAGCCGGTCAAGTTGAATTTTCTGGCCAATATGTGAATTTTCTGGTGACTATATAAATTTTTAGACAAAAATATGAATTTCCGGCGAACGTATGAATTTTCTGACGAATCTGAAAAAACAAAACGGTGTGTGTCCGGAAATCGTTCCCGGTTGTTCGTCAGGTTTAGTTATTGATTTCTAGGGTTTCAGAAATCATGTCAACAAAAAGAACATGAACTTAGAACACATACATGAACACACAACTTTGGATCCAAATCAAAAGGTTGAAGATAAAAAGAACTCAAACCAGAAAGCAAAACACCTAAAGTCTAGGGTCGTTCATCTGCCTACTTTAAAGAGAATTTCATATGTGTTTTCAAAACTCAAGAACATAAAAAAACTCGAACCCTTTGATTTCAAGGGTTTCATTTATGGGTTTTCAAGAACAAGAAGACATGCTGGATCTTTGTATAGGTTAAAGGGTTTTTGTTCATGAAACTATGATTTATGGGTTCGTTCCTGAAAAACATGAACAAGATGTCAGATTTTGCTTTGATTTATGATGAAGTCGATTGCAATGTATGGTTGTGTTCTTGAACATGAATCCAAAAACTGAATTCAAATCAAGAACACGAACATTAAAATCGTTCTAGAAACAATCGAACAAGATGAAGACGAACATTGAAATCGTTTTAGATCTGAAAAATTGTTCTTGAAATCGTTTATGTAATTGTTTGGACAAATCAAGGCGTAGAACACCCAAACATGTTTGAGCATCTGAAACAAAACCTAGTTCTTCATCTAAATTTAGTCGAAGACTGGCCGAAAAACTTATATTGGCCGGAAAATTGCCGGAGAAGAGGACCTGACAAACTTGTTGGAAACCTTCAATACCTGGTAATAATGATATTTTTTGAACACCAAAAACAAGTTCAATGGTAAATTGTATAAAAAAAAAAGTGACCAAATACTAACAAAAACAATAGTTTGTTATCCTCCAGAGTCATTTTCCCTTTTTAAAATTAAAGAAAAAAAATATAGTATATATTTAAAATCTATTTTTAGTTTCATGTTATTTGTGTTACAAACATTTTCAAATGAGGAGGTAATTCTATCCATAATAATCTTATTAGATTTCTTTTGGCTCATTTTTTCAACAATTATAACATAGTAAACTTTTTAGACATTGCAGTATACTAAATATTAAAGATGCTAAACCACGAGCTAGCAAACACAAGAACTTCGGTCTCCAAATCAACATATAGTTTTACGTTTGCTAAGTGAAGTTTTTGCATCTACCAAAACATAAACTAGTTTTGTAAAAAAATTTCAGGAATATATTAAAAAAACATAAAAAAAGGAACATGTTAGAGAAATTTTAGAAAGTAATTTTGTAAAATAAACTAGTTTTGTAAAAAAATTTCATTAAAAACAAAGTTGTAAAAAATATATAAAAATACATTTTTATAAAAAAACAGAGTTTTAAAAAATATATAAAAACAAAGTTGCAAAAATGTTTTTAATTTTCTTTATCAAAATTATAAAACAAATAAAATTGGGCCAAAGTTATAAAAAAAAAATGACAAAACTAAAAAAATGGTCTTTGTGATATGCATTTGATTAGGAAAAACTCCTAAACCACTAAACTTTTATGATTGGTGGTAAACTAGTTTCGTTGCGATTTTGTCTCTCGAAAAACTGAAAAGACTAAATTAGTAAATTACTCTCCTAATATGTTTTTTTTAAATATAATTTAAAGTTTTATTAATAATAATGTAGCCGACATCTCTCTCTCTCTCTCTCTCTCTCTCTCTCTCTCTCTCTCTCTCTCTACTCTCTCTCTCTCTCTCTCCTCCTCCTCTCCTCTCTCTCTCTCTCTCCTCTCATCATCTCTCCTCGCTCTCTCCTCCGCTCTCTCTCTCTCTCTCTCTCACTCTCTCATCTCCTCTCTCTCCTCTCTCTCCTCTCTCTCTCTCTCTCTCCTCTCATCTCTCCTCCCTCTCATCTCTCTCTCTCTCTCTCTCTCTCTGTGTGTGTGTGTGTGTGTTAAGAAAAAACCTCACCCAATCTTCTTCTTCACACCTCTCCTATAACTCAAAGCCACATTTATGGGTCAAAAATAATTGCCTTTGTCCTACAAACTTGATTATGATACATTCAATCAACAACTTCAGTAAACACTTTCTCCATATTCGTATATCTAAAAGCAGATGTCGTCTCAATAACTGATAAAGATTCATTCTTAGCAAATGACTTCACGACCTCCGCCAAAATAATACCATCGTAGACCTGGAGTGCACCGGTTGCACCACGACAGTAGGCATCTGTGATGGCTCGAACTTTCTTGTGGCCGAAAGTATCCCAGATTTGAAACACGATGAGTTTTCTGTCGACGTGGAGGGTTTTGGTGGCGAACTCAACTCCGATGGTGGAGGGTTGTGGTATGTTGGGGTTTATCAAAAGGAAAGTGAAAAGTTTTGGGGCTCGAGTCGTTTTTTTGATAGTTAGAGCTGAAGGGGGAGATGGACGATATGTGAGATCTGCATGTGATTTCGAAAGGAGGCGATGGGAAGGGAGGGATTTTTAGGGATGTAGATGGCTTGCCTGATTTTTTGTTAGAGATGGAGATGCGCTTTGAGGGGTGGCTCTTGACGGATCGCTTCCTTCTCTTCCTTCATTATTATCCTCATCGAAGGCAAAGGAGGTAGCGGGGATTGAGGAGGAAAACTAGAGGTTTGAGGGAAAACGAGTTGACAGAGGAGGAAATCAGAGGTTGGAAAGGAATACCAGAGTTGGAGATGATGAAAGCGAAGGAGGCGGTGAGGATTCAACCCTAATTTGGTAAATCTCCTGTATTTGTTGCTACAACTTTCATGGAGATGGGGGAAATTCCCTCCTCTACGAATCCTGGGAGAAATGGGTCGGAATCGACACCAATTTCGCCGTCCATTTATACTCGTTTATCAAAGGTATGTTGGGTTGACAAACCGAACTCCGACCATTGTTATTGTGTGGTGTTTAGGTGATGATGGTAAAGAGAGAGTCAGTCTGTAATGTGTGTGTAATCCTCTATTTTATCTATCGTGTTTACAACAGATGCTCTGAATTGCTCTTCGTTTAGGGTTTTATTTACTTATTCTTGTTTTCTTTGTAACAGACTATGTAGTAGTTGACAGGAAACATTTGTGAGAGTAAGACTATGATTGTAGTGAGGATTATATCTGTAAAATGTTTTCAGTGGTGGAAGTTTGAAGATTTTATGTTTTACTACAGAAGTCCTGAGCGAACACAAATGTCGGGACGCCTTGAGAAAGATAGACAGAAGGAGGATAGGGTGGGGGTCTATGGGGCCTTTTCTTTATTTAATAACAAATAAAATATTTGAAAATTGAAAGAAAAAAGGAAATATATATATATATATATATATATATATATATATATATATATATATATATATATATATCTATATATATATATATATATATTAAGGGAATAATAGTCATTTCGGTTTGAGGAGGAACCAAATCTACAACCAAACCTGTCGAAAAAGACCATCAATCTAAAAGTTTAGTGGTTTGGACATTTTTCCCGAAAAAATGCATACCACAATGACCATTTTTTATTAGATTTATTAGGCTTAAAATTAGGTAAATATTGTGAAAAAGTTAATTCGTAAACAATATTAAAAATTATGCCAAAATCATAAAAAAGATAAGTTAGTTAGGCATACTTGGATTAGAATCCTAAATAGACGGGTCGGTCAACCGGTTCCTGTTTTGACCCAAGAATAAAAAATGAGGAGAGGGATCAAACCCTCAACCTCTTTGTATTGGACTACAACATAAACGCTTTACAATTGGGGCGAGAGAATTTGCATTTTAAAAACATAAATATACTGAAAATAAAAT